ATTACAATGTCGTTGTTCAGCGGTATGTTAGTAATTTCATAAAAAAAAATTTCGTTGCTTTTTTCTGTGGAAATGACGAAAACGCCCGCCATAAACACGTGATAAATGTGATTATTACCGAAAATATTATCGGTTATCTTTGCTTTAGTATTTTAATTCGGGTGGGGCGCGCAAACAAACGCGAATTGAACGCGAAAAGTAAAAGTGAAATGGCCGCCGCACGCAACCGTCTAATTGTCGTTTTAACTTCTTTTCAGCGCGATACACATGCACGATAAACGTTAGCCATTTACCCTTTCTGTGCAAGAAGGGATGTGGATGGGCGTGCGGCTCGTTTAAATCGCATTTTTAAGCAGTTTCATAAAAGTAATTGCGGAATTTGTTTGCATAATTTTAATTGATTGGGTTTTATCAATATAGATGGCGCGCGGTGTTGGTATAGGCTATGTGTGTGTGAGGTTATTTTTTTGCAATGAGGTAGGTATATTAGCGTAATTAATTACAATGTGTCGGTGCGCAGTGTCCTCGATGGCGGCAATCGTAATTAATTATCCTGCGAGGGAGGTTAATCACGATCATCAACGCCGATATGTCATCGTGAGTACCGCCAAGGGTGCTCGCCGCCATTGACACATTTTATGCACTCGGGTCTCCCGAAATATAGTAGGTACTATCTAATTACATTAATTATTAATTTTAATATCGGGGGACATGTGGGTATTAGTCATGTTATGAAATATTTGGTTTGGTACTAATTAAATTATACAAATCGGTATTTGAGGTTAGTTTTGGTACACTTTTGTATATTTGTCTTCAAAAATACTTAAATAATGACTGTTTCCATCAGTTTAATATTTTATTTTATTATTTGATGAAGAATTGTATACTTTGGCAACCCAACTTACATAAATAGCTTATAAAATGTATAATAAACGCAAGCATCATTTTTAAATTTATTTTTTGCTTTTAACTCTCTTTTAAGTCTTGTAGAGAAGTGTAAAGTAAGAAGTGTAGTGAAGAACTGACTTTCCTAAACCCTTGTCACTCACCAGCAACCCTTCAGGTTGATGCGTGGTGACAAGAAATTTGGAAGTAGGAAGAAAGCGATAGATTTGATTGGTAGAAGAAAGTGTGTGACATTGACGAGAGGGAAAGTTGACCATCGGCTAGATACAGCGTGCCAAACCGTCCGACTCGGGGATTAGGTTTTTCAAGGGTAATAAAAGTAATTAGGAATTTTGGGAATTTTATACGAAGAATTATGGCATGCAATATAAATGAAGAAAGTTATAGAGTGCATGCAATATAGATGAAGAAAGTTATAGAGTTTGGAAATATAGAATAAGCGTTGGGTAAAGATCCCCACATGTTATTATCTATTATCAAGTTTGTAAAGTACAATATTTTATTAACAAACTTGGGAAATTAAATCTTAAATCCTCTTATTATGAAATTTTTGTTTTTCTACAAATTAAATTAACTTAGGGGAAGGTAGCATAATTTGGACCAGCGCCTAAGTTGGACCACCACGATATCCGCGGACTGTTGAAGTTTATGCAAAAATTGACTGGCCCCTTGTTTTACTCGTATTTATAAACAATTAATGCAACTATTTGGGTTAAAACTTGCCGCGTGCTTTCGTCGTGACAACAACTTCGTGTATCATTGATTATCAAATCTATTATAACGACGTGCAAGAGCTGTCTAGCCGTTAAAACGTTAGTTTTACCGATTATTATTTTATCATCAGAAAGCTTCTTTATTTATCTATAATTTATAGTATTAATTTTGAGAGGTTATGTTATATTAAGATTGTTGTTGATCATTATATATAAATTCTTCAAGTTGCCCAAGTTGGACCGAAGACAGACACCGGAGTTTTACAGGGAAAACGTAGGGGAAAGTCGCTTAAGTCGTACCGTCACGTAAGTCGTACCTCGGTCTTTTCTCTAACTTGAAGGCACTTTATGCAACTTAAAATGCTGTATTCGGACAGCATGAAATCATACTAGAAGCATATTCTTTAATCAGTTCCCGCCGAATCGGAATTAAGAAGTTATGCGCAAAAATAGTTTTGCTCCTCGTGCTCATCCAATTTCTCCTGGAGCTTGAAAGCATTGGTGGTCAGAAAAACACCACTAAATATGTGTTTCATGTTAAATATTGGGTATACATCTATCCATGTATTGTGTTCTACATGGATTTTGTTAAATATTCCTTCTGATATATTGTTTAAGGTTGTTTTAAGCGGGAAGCACATGTTTGCTAACTCGTACCCCTGTGCGTTTTTTAAGTCGTACCTATAGAACATATGGGACTCAAGGTTTCAGCTGCGCCACGAGGCGGCGCTACGGTTGCGCGCCGAAGATACTTTACTAGCGTGAAGAGAATAGAGAAGATAGTATGATTCAGTGCCTCAAATGCAAAATTTGGATGCATGACAAATGTGTTGGGGTGTCCAAACGAGTAAAAAATACCTTGCAAATAAATACATTATTATTAAACTAATATATATTCTCATTTTGATATTACTTTGGCATAGGTACGACTTAGGGTATCGATGGTACGACTTAGGGTACCGGTTTGTTAAGTCGTACCGTTTACACATTTTTGTTAAATTGATGTTTTACAAAAATATAAACATTTCTGATTAATTTTTCTCATACTAATTAAAGCTATATTAACTAAAGCAGGTGAATATGTCAAAAAACTGACATTATGTTGCAAAACTTTCAATTTAGGGCCAATTGTATTTTAGGGGTACGACTTGGCCAACCTTCCCCTATATCATATTTTCGACCTCCTAGAAAAGCTTGTGGACGAGCACAAATCTTCGAAATGATCCACTGTATGAAATGCCGCACTTTGGTTTATACAAAATGTGCTTGTGTTACTGCTAAAACTAAAATTTACTATTGTGTCAATTGCCGTTAAAAAAACATGGTCCGAAACCGGTTTCTTAATTTGGACCAAAAACACAATTTTTTTAAATTGAAATTTGAGGGGTATAAATATAATTTTTACTTAAACCAAAAATATCATTTTGTTGGTAAGCCTTGTGAGTTACTTTTCCGCTACTTAATTTTTATTGACAGTTTATATGTGGCTCTATAAATCAAAAAATATAAAAATGGTCCAAATATGGCTACTTTCCCCTATATTAATTAACAATATAAACCGATACATCGCTCATTTTTTATTCCAACTTACGCAAAAACAAGTGAAAGATAACAAATTCGATTAGCGCCGTAAGGGACGTCGCTCGAAGATAAATTATTTATACTTTACACTCGCATTAACCAAACGTTACTAATCGCACCCGACGCGTCTGCGAGGGAAAGAAAAAGCCAAAGCCAAAACAAAAAAAAAAACTCAAACAAATTACATATTGATTCAAGGCAATAAATTGTGCAATTCCAACGCTGATGTGAAACGATCAAAACATTACAAAAACCCACCTAATAATAATCATTCTAAACGAAACGCTTACATAAAATATTACACAGAGAAAAAAATTCTTCCCAACTATACCAACCAACTCAGAGTGTGAGTGTTTAATGGTGATTAGAGCGTCGAGGTTTTTATAATTGCGCCATAGATACTCGTCGTACTTACGAAAACACTATAGCCTACATGATGATAGTTTCAAGTATGTTGGGACTGATATTATGTACGTGCGTACTTGATGCGTACTCAAAAGTCAAGCGATAGCTGCGTTTAGTAGAGAAAAATTAAAGCGTATAAAGCGGTATTAATCATTCGGTATATGGATATGACTTGCTAATGTCGGAGCGCGGATGATTCGATTATAATATGCGTGAATTAACCAAGCGCCGCTTTGGAATAATTTCAAACTAGAAAATTGAGGAGAAATTATTTCATGTGAAACATTTTTATTTCGGTGTTTGGTGTAAGTAAGCGTTAAATTTTCGGTGTAAAATTAGCAAATAGACAAATTGTTGAATGTGGAATTTAATTCTAACGCAAGATAAGTTAATGTGTAAATGTGTAAAGTAGGTATAATTGTGCGCGCATTAATTATATCGCCACAATAAGTTTTAATGCGCTTTAATACGCTCGTAGCGCGGTAATTAATACTTTGTAAGCTATCGATTTATTGATTTAATCAATTAATCAAACTCGTGAATGGCTATGCGCATAGTTTGCGATTACAAATTACGGAATTATACTTGTAAAGTGTTTTATAAAGTCGTTAAATTAATTTTATAGGTATTTTAATGTAATATTGGTTGCATATGGAAAATTTGTTGAGTTTTTGTGTTATTTTGGTTGCATATTTTTAATATTTTTAAATAAAATTAATTTTATAGTCATATTGGTTGCCTATGAGTGATTGACTTAGTTTATTTGTAAGTTTGGTTGCATAATTTGCATTTTTTCACAGTATTTTACTAGGAAAATTAATTTTTTTACAATTTTTATGAAATATTGTTAGTCTATTAGTAATTTATTGAATTTGTTGTAATTTTGGTTGCATACATTGGTATCTTCATACTTTTAACCTAATCTATCACATTTCAAAGTAATTAAATTAGTGTTAAATTATTTTTCTGTAAAATCGGTTGCCTATTACTGACTTTGTGAGCTATTCATGTAATTTTGGTTGCATAAACAGAAAATCTTCACACTGCTACCTGATATTTCAAAAAACTAGAATTACGAATTACGCACGGCCGCAATGTGTGTGAATGCAATGATAAATATTTATGACCGATGATTACCGACGCGTCGAAGATCGCGCAACGCGATAAAGGCAGTCAAAATGTGTTCATCAGCACACCGACAGCAATGGAGCCTACGAGTATTTCGATGATAGTGATTAAGAATTTGCACGGCGCGCATCCGAATCACTCTTAATCCCCGCACATTTCGAATTCATATCGATGCAAATGAAGCAAAATTTGCAAATAATGCATAATTACACGATGTTATAACCTCGTACCTATGTGAAGTGTGTGTAATTAATTAAATCCGCTTACCTTTTGCCATTCCGTCGGCGCCGCTTGGTGGCATAAACCGTCCCGAGCTGATTCATCGCCGTGGTCGTCGTGGTGGCGGCGGCGTGCGGCTGGTGATGATGATGGTGGAGGTGCTGCGCGTTGCTATGCTGTGTGCTGGTGGTGCTGGTCGCCGCCGGCGGTCCGGGCGGCTCACCTCCAAACGTCCCGGGCGGCGGCAGCGATCCTGGTGCACATTGGCCACGCACTGCACCGATGAATTCCGTGTTGGCGCACTCGCAAACTAACACGCACGCAAATATCAAACTTCAACACGCTGATTACGCCAAACTCGCAAACTTTTTATTAGTATTATCCATATAAGATTTGGTTGGTTTTTAAATATGTTTTCAATCGTCTTCTTGTAAGCGACGGTGATGTCGGAGTGTTGGGTACGTTGAGGTGGTGGTTAGTGGTAATCCGACGCACGCGAAACGCGCGGTGAACAGCGAGCGAAGGGTCCTTCTCCACGTTGCCAGCGCGAGGATACTACTGATGCATGCGCACGGCTCGTACCCATCAGGACCCCTTCCTCGGCGGATTTTACCGCATTGGGATTGGTGCAGGTGGGCGTTTTACGTCAGAGCTGAACCATTGAGGACTTTTGTGGAAGCTTTGCTATCTTTCTTTGCCTCCTACTTTATCCCCACTCTTTTTCAATGATACAATGTATTAAACTAGGCTTTTATATACTACCTTAACCCTGGAATACACTTTGGAGACGATATTATAACCTAAAAATTTTAAAATGTATGTTTCGTTGTCTAATAATGAAAAATAGTCAATTTTTAGGAGTAAAAAATAAAAATTAAATAGGAAGTATTGTTGGTTGCAGTTTTATGCGTTTTATTAGCTATTTGAGTGAGTTGGGTTGCCTAAAGATAAAAAATATTGATTTTATTTTGTTTTTAGATGTTTTTGACTATTTTTCTTGATTACATAATAAAATATAATATTTATTAAGGTTTCAACAATATTTTGGTGCAATTAAAATTATATTTTTTGAGTAAAAAGTAAAAAATTAATTGAAACTATTGATGGTTGCGTGTATTATGCATTTTCTCAGCTATTGATGTAAGTTGGGTTGCCTAAAAGTGTGCAAAATTAATTATTGCTCATTTTTCTATGTTTCAATCAATATTTTTGATTAAATAATAAAATAAAATATTTCTTAAAATGCAACTAAGTTTCAATGCAATTAAAATTATATTTTTAGAGTAAAAAGTATAAAATACCAGAAAAATATTGATTCTTCTGTTTATAATGTATTTTCTAAGCTACTGATGAAAGTTTGGTTGCCTAAAAGTGCACCACATAAATTTCACTTTAATATTTTTACTTATCCATTAGCTAGATTAATATTTGTCGTGATTATTATTCCGATTATTACAAAAACAATTCTCACTACTTAAATACGAATGCTGAAGGGTGAAAAACGTTTTTTTTTTCCTTTCTATGTTTTGTTTTTTAATATAATGCGCATAAAATATATGAAGAATAGGGAGTGCTGTGGTATGGTGGAAATGTGGAATAATGAAAACGTGTAATGGAAACCCACGCTGTGAGTTTGTTATCAGCGCATGCATTATGACTGACTTTGGGACACTATCACTCGCTGTCGATCGGATCGAAGTGCATGTGCGCTGCATTCGCGCGCGTTGTTCGCTTGCGTTTTCGTGGTGAGGTGCTGCTGGTTTCGTACATGGAACGTTAATTATAAATAAAAACGTTTGTTACTCGCCGTTATTGCGCGCTTTTTTACGTTTGGTAATTATTATATTTTCCGAACTGATAATAGATAATGGCGCAACTAAATTTCAGTGCGGTTAAAATGTTATTTTCGGAGTTACATGGAAAAAATGTTTAGAAAATGTATAGATGGTTGCATTTTATTAGCTATTTATGTGTGTTGGGTTGCCTGAAAGTATTCAAGATTAATTTTTGTGAATTTCTGATTGTTTTATTATTATTTTTGGTCAAATTATAAAATAAAATATTTAAGATGGTTTAAATGTTATTTTTGGAGTAAAAACTTACAAAAAAATTAAAAAAAAGTAGGTAGGATTGCCTGTATTCAGCATTTGATTGGCTATTAATGGAAGTTGGGTTGCCTAAAACGTAACAATATCAATTTTATTAATTTTTTTCTCATTTTTCTCTATTGCTCTTGATTAAATAATAAAATAAACTATTAATCAAATTTTAACCAAGGTAAAATGACAATTTTGAACTAAAATGTACGAAAAATATTAAAAGTATGAATGGTTGTCTATATTATGCATTTTCTGTGCTATTAATGTATGTTTGGTTGCCTAAAAGTATACAATTTATTTCCAACTTATTTCTTTTTTATAACTCCATTATTCTTTCTAGAATAATAAAATATAATATTTAATAGCATAATATTATACTTCCATACAATTTTCTTTTGTTTCTCTAATAGAAACATGAAATAATGAAGCCATTTGTATCAAATCCGGTACAATGCTAAACGCTAAAATATGCATTGACTGTTTCTGTTCGTCTCTCGTTTTGTTTTCCCCTCTTCAGACATATGCATCGCGCATTTCTTTCGCCGCTGTTGCGCTGAAATATTCGCCAAAGTCGGTTGAGTACGACCGATACACGCGCTATTAATTTTTACGATGTTTAACATACAATTTGATCACTATAATTAAGAGTCATATTTTTACACTGTATCGCTAGCTGCATCTTGCACTTTTCGTATTTAAAGTGTAGGTATACGAATGCACTACTAACTTATATTATTTTAAATATAGTTTATATAAAATAAAACACTTTGTATAAGAATTAGTGCAAATTTTACATTCGAGTAGAATATTTTCTCCAAGCCGACTTATTATTATGACTTAATTAAACTCGTAAAAAATAATTAACTTTTATTCTCGATGCAAATATGTATCGCAGAGGCACTAAACTAATAAGAACATCATTTTATACAAGTTTAACGTCATTATTATCAAAAATATGTCGTAAAATGTAAAAAATTAAAATATTGCAAGAAAAGTTTAATTTTTAGTAATTTAAAGTTTGGAATTTATGAGTAAGTTGGTTTGTATTTATTTTAGTATAAATTTATATTTGTGGTGTTTTGCCATGTGCGACGGTGTGGCTGAGGATGTGACGTTTGACGTGTTTAGAGCACATCGCACATTTCGCATTGCACATGCGACTGGCGAGTGAAACACTTTTCGCCATTATGTGTGCCAATGTCACGAGACACGACGATGCTCAATTTATTTCTTCATTTCGAATGCATTCAACGTATACTTAGACTCCTAAGTACGAGTAAATACCTTTCTGCTCATTAATTCAAAATTAGTCTATTGTTATTGCTAACAGATATGGAATCATACTTGATTGCTAGAGTTTTATATCAGAAAGCATACAATTATTTTTGATTTCGATTTTTTCATAGTTTTTCATCATTTTTTTTGATTAAATATAAAATTAAAAATTTCAGTTGAGTTAAAATGCTATTTTTAGAATAAAATGATTGAAAACAAGCATAAACATTGATGGTTGTGTGTATTATGCATTTTATCAGCTATTGATGTAAGGTGGGTTGCATAAAAGTACAATTTGTGCTACTGCTACTCAATTCATGTGTGCATCAAATAAAAATAAGCAAAAATTGATTAAGCTCTATTCAGCAATGTGTTAAGTGTTTATTTATGACAATACCCTTGATTACTCATTCAAAAACAGCAAAATTTACAATTTTTACCTAGAATAAAACATTTTACATCAAATTTTCAAGAATTTTACTCATAATTCAATATTTCAATTCTCTTCCAAAGAAAAACTCATTTAGGGTAGACTGGGTACGGTTGTACCATTTTTTAGATTTTTGCCTGTAGGCTTAATAGGATTTTACTTAGCCCAATGGTACTTGTCATAGTTTAATGCCTAATCATCTGGCTACGTTTTGCCCATATTTTTAATCCCTCAAGGTTACAAGTACCTTCATAAATCTAAATTTTGTTGTGGGTGAGAAATGGTACAACCGACCTCAGACCTCAGGACGGTTGTACCAGGGGGTGGGGTCGATTGTACCATACAGAAATAAAACTTATTTATGACAATAAACGTATTTATTACAATAAAGAAAACACTTTTAAAATTATACTTAAATGTCCTGCTATGTGTGCAACAATAAAATTAGTTGGAATCACAATTATTGCATACGTAGCTGGGTTCTCCGTCAGTGCATTGCTCATGAGCCCAGTTCTTACACTCAATATACACTCATAGGCATTGATATAAGCGCTATCATCATGTTGGCCTTTTCCTGTTTTGTGAATACGTACTCGTGGCATCTAATATAAAGCAAACGTTTTACGTTTAGAAAGAAAAAGAAATTTTACTTTAAAATAATACAAGGCATGGGGTCGTTTATACCGGTACAACTGTCCCCATATTATTTGGTACAACCGTCCCCATGTGGACATTTTCCAAATTATATTTAATAATAAAAAAAAAATAATAGAGATACAAGAATTTGATTAACATACCTTTATTCTTCAAAAACCATTTATTTTCAATAAACACACATGAATAATATAACACGCAAGACAAGATTTAAAAACTAAAAACAATTCATCATCAAATATTTACTTTTGATCTCAAAAAATCAAAAACACGTCCTACACGCGTGTAACTGGCTTTGTGTGACTCAACTTACAACTTACATACTTCAACTTGTATGCGGCTACTATCACTCCTTGAACGCATAGGGCTGTGCTCAACTATTCACGAGATATTTGCTTTGGTACTACCGCCCCCCTGGTACTACCGTACCCAGTCTACCCTACTGATTAGATAACTTCAAAACCCCACTATAACAATATTTTATTCACTATAATTTTATCTATAAACCATTTTTTTTACAAAACCAACAATATTCATATACCAATATTACGTAGATAGCTATTATAGATGTAGCTATATTTATTATAGCAATAAAATTGTGGGCCGGTTCGAAATTCGGCTTGACGACGAAACGCTCGCGTCCCTCGCGGCGTCTCAAGCCACCTCCACCGGAATCTCGCCCACCAAAGCGCCTTGTGGGCGTATTCGGCTCATACAGTGTTAACCGTGTTAACGACTCTCGCCTGGTTTCGATTGGCGGCTGGGGCCCACCTTTCGCGTCCACATCACCGGCGCATGTATCTGATCGACAAACAAACAACAAATACAAACAACATTCAAACACAAACACACACTATAGGTTACTATATCTGATTCTAAACGCCGAATACTTTGGTGTTTATATTGATTGATTGTTTTGACTTTAAACTCACAACACAGAAGCAAAAATAACAAAATAAAATATTTGCAAGTAGAGAAATATTTATAGATTAGACTAAATCTGTTTAATTTATAAAATGTTATCGCAAAATGACTCGTAAAAACTAAAATATTATTTGTATGAGTTTGCAATTTGCGTCTTAAGCGACGGTTAATAGCCTTCGCGTTTTGCTTAACTTTGCGGTCACAAAATATGCTCATTTTTTTTGTAACTGTAACCTAAAACACTAAAAGTTAGTTTTTAAACGGCCGGACTTTTATTGTGCGCGATTTTATCGCGCGGGTGCAACTAGCGTGACCGATATGCATTCTTGATAACGTAGAAATATTTTTTACTGCACAAAATTCAACATAAAACTCAAAAAAATAAAAAAATAAAATATTATTTTACTTATTACATTTTAGTTAAAAAATACTTAATTTCTTGCCTTGATACTAATGAAAATAAATTTAATGATGCCCACACTCTTTGTGAAGTAGTAAATTCTAAAAGTGTCAATGTTGATTTATGTGCAGCGGACGATGCGAGAGATAATTCACACCATCACACCGCCCTGTCATTCATTCCCATACTGACACACTTAATTCCGGCGCGCTTGCGCCTTGACAAGCCGATTACTAACCGCCACTCGCGACTCTTCTGCACTCTTCAATGTCACGATGTCAGCGAATAACACGCGTAACATCAATTTGTGAAGATGTGAATAAGAGCGTCTCAAAGAGGCGCCTCGCAAGTGTTCACACGTTAATTGCCTAAAATTGGTGTAGGATTGAGCGCGGACACTACGTCCAGACATCAAAGGAATTACACTGTGTTACATTGCCGGTTACATAACCAATTTAATCCTGAGCGGTTTCCAAGAAATGTTTAACGTTAACAATTTTATTCTGTGTCGGATATTTTCCCATTATGTTGTGGATTACAATAGACCATTATGCATTATGAATATTATCTAATTTCACTATTCACTTGCACATGTTGATAGATAAGTAGGTATAGAATATGAAGAAAGGTTGAAAGAGAAAATTTACCTACTTCCGTTGTAGCTGTGGATACATAACCTCAATTATAATATGTCATCGAAATTTTTATTTTTTTTATTTTTGAGTTTTTTGTGTTTCTTGGAAGTTGGTATGAGAATATGCAAGCAGATATCTGTAATAATTCGAGGTAATGTCGGTCGTAAGTCAGGCCGTCCTTCGAGGATGCAGATGAGGAGGCCGAGACAAGTTATGTCCTTGTTTTCACACTCGGTGTGCGGCGGCAGTGTGCCGCGTCGAACGGTGGGAACAAACCAAACAACTTAAGCGACTTTACCAACTTAAGGCACATTAAAACACATAAATGTACTTCTGCACATCTACACGTTGAACACGATATTTTTCTTTATTTTTATTTTTTATAAATTTACCAGTTTTTTACATTTTTTTCCATAAAAAAAATTGTTTTTTGTTATAAGTAATGACAGAAAAATGGTAGAATGATGTGTGGTATATTTTTAGAAAGAGAATGTAATCAGGAATTTAATTTTAGCAGTTTAAAAGTTTTATTGTTATTAGTTATTGAGTTATGTGCAAAAATGTGAAAGAAATGACGTTTAAAGTGTATGCAACCAATATTTCGCTTTTTTTTTATATTTTTGGTTATAACTATCAATAGAAAAGCAGTATAATATTGTGTTAGATATTTTTGGATAGAAAATTTAATTTAGAATCAACTTGTGTGAGTTTAAACGCTTTATCTCTTTTAATTATTAAGTTATAGACAAAAATATGAAAAAAAAAAACTGATTTTTAGTCTGTAGGCAACCAATATTTCAATATCTACCGTGCGAAATAAAAATAACACTAGTAATACAGACCATAGCGATAATAAACATAAAACCCGATTAAACATGCGCCCCAAATGGGAATATTTCGACTGCATGGTGTGATATTATGGCCGCCGTCGGCGCACGGTTGCGTTTAGCGGCCGCGCCGCGCATAAAGATGCCGATGATCCATCGGGCCGGCCGGCCGTGTAAATCATCGCCGCATGGGGTCTCCCGCGGGGCCGCGATTTCCCAACTTCGAAAATATATTCCCTTAATTCATTCGACAGCCCGAGCCCAACATGCGCCGGCGATGCGATCCCATTGTTTTTCTTCCTTTTTGCGCTCGCCAGCTACCTACTACAAGTCGGAGTCTGTGTGTACCTCGTAATTCACACACATGCGCGCGGCCATTTACGAGGTATCATAAAAATACGCGCCGCGGAACAAAAACGGCGGTTAATTAATGCGTTTATGTCCTAGCGATGGGAATCATCGACTGACTCAGTATCGTACTTAACCAAGATTTAAATAAGAAAATAATTTACAATAGGCAACCAATTATACATTTCAATGTAGTATACCTAGATTTACATATAAGTAATGTTAGAGAAGTTGCATAATTTTTTTTATATGTAATTTATAAATGCATATCTGTGCAGGTTTAGAATTGTCTTGTGAAAGATTACAAATTGAATTATTGGTATCCGATTGCTGGTATCGAATTCGGGCGAATGTAATAGTAGCAGTTACATGGGAGCGGATCCGTGTGTTAATAATTTTCATGCGCATTATTATTCACTCTTGGAGTCACAGGACAAGAGATTGGTTTGCTTTGTTTTGTATGTTGCGATTTTACACACAAAGTGTTTCAATAATAAACTTACATCAATACACACCAAACAAAAAGTAAAAATAAAAATGTAGCTTTTAATTGAGGTTAGGTTTTTATTTTTTCATTTTTATTCAATCAATACATAGTCATCTGATATATTTTAGGCTATGATTTATTCTATGCAGGTTTTTAATGATTGTATCACTCTGATATAACTTTCTTTGTGCGCTTCGTTGTTGGTCCCAAAGCGCTGCTGTTTTACAAGCCACACTCTCGGAGTAAATCACTGGCGAGCTTTTGTACGCGCATGGTTCGCCGTTTTGTAGGTATAGTTTAGCATTTCAAGCGAAAATCAAAAATAAACCGCACACTGTTTTACATACGCGTATTATATAAGCGCACTAGGCTGAGCAAGACAACTTGCTTTATGGCCGTAATGTCATCCGTGTCTCATGGAGTTGGAGAGACACAGACGCCCGGAGAGTGGCTTCCAGACCTCGGAGCTCTGCTTGATTCTGATCGTTGGCGACGGAAGCGTCAGCGTCACACTTTGCACTCCGGTGTGCACCAGTGCAAAAAAGCCAAAAATGAAAAATGGTTCAAATTGCATTATTTCAAGGTCAGAAATATTAGGTATACATGCAGTAAAAAATTATTTAAAAAAATTTCCGTTTGAAAAATTTGTTTAAAATGTAAAATATATATTATTACGTCAATTAAACCTCCTCTTTTAATTGGACGTGCATTTTGGTTAATTAGCGACATCCAGTTATTGATAAAAATCATTTCCGATTAGAATCCGGTCGTTGATGGCCGATGGCCGAGCGTTGGAAGGCATCCACACGTGACACACACACCTAAACATGCTTGACTTTGAATAACCAACTTGCCGACTATGAAAACACTTATAATATTCAACAATTCAACTCAACACACGCACCCGTCGTACTCTATTTGCGCTTGGCCGAAAAACCTCTCGACCGGCAGCTGTTTACGCGAGCCATCACGCGATTCTCGTGTACTCATCATATTTTTTCTTTTTTTTGCCAATATTGGCGGTTCCTTTCATTGGCAATTGAAAGTCATTTATATTCCTATCACATTGATATCATTTGCTAAGCTTTTAAAGACACTACTTACAAATGTAACTGTATATTTTCAGTTTTAAATTTATGTATGAAATTAAGCATTCTGACGGGCCCTGTATATTAATTTCGGGTTGTTTACTCATCAATGAGTCGATTTTATGCATTCATTACAGGTGCACACGATTCGCGGCGCTCTTGATGCAAAAAGCGCGCGTACTCGCCGTTAATTAGACATTTGTGCAGGTTTTTACATTTTTTTAACTCAGTTTATGAATATTCCATTGGGTTGTATTTTAATTATCAGTCAGTTAAAAAATTACATCACATAATTTAATATTTTTAAACATTTTGCGAAAAAAAATAATTTTTTTTATTTTTTACTAAATTGTGAAGTAATTTAGTAAATCTTTTAGTAGCGCGCATGTATGACTTTAATGTCACTTCGGGTGGCGCTCTGCGCGCTTTAATCAACCAATAACATTAATTCCTGTCGCTTCAAAACGCTGCGCAGCTACTAATCGCTGTCTCGTGAGCTTTATTTTATAACACTTGAGTTTTAAAGCGTTTTTATGCAACTTCTGGTGCTGGTCGTCCGTCGGATGGACGAAAAACTCTGTAGTTTGAAATGCTGAGCACCCCGGGTTACACGTTGTATGCTGTTGGGATCGATTTACGATCGCGCTTAAAATTAAATCGATTACCATCCATATTCGGCGCGGGTAAAACGCGCCGCACTGCACTAACAATAAAATATCTTCCTCGGCGCGGCTGGTGGCTCTGGTGGCTAGAAATTAAATATTAACCACTCGATTTAAATGACTGAACGTATACGACTCGTTTATTATTATTTGATTTTTATGAAAATGCTTTTAATTGTGATTAAAATGCATTTGATGGCTATCGACGCGGAATCGGAACGCTATTAATTGCGCACGGTGTGCATTTTATAAGAATTATG